TTGTCTAGTAATATCAAGTTCTTGGGGAAGAAAGATCAAGTTTGTGAGGAAGTGAAAGGTGAAGTTCTCTTATAGAAACATCTAGTTCTTTAGGAAAAACGGTGTTGTTCTTGGACAACAACATCACCTTCTTGAGGAAGAAAGATGAAGTTTCTGTGAAGTGTGATGAAATATCAAGTTTTTGATTAAGAAAGATGGAGTTCTCTAGATGAAACACCTAGTTGTAAAAAAAAAGAAAGGCGTTGTCCTTGCGACGAACGATTAAGTTCTTGAAAATGAAAGGTGAGGTTCTTGTGAAGAAATATGAAGCTCCTCGAGAAGAAAGATGAAGTTCTTCAGCGCGATAGATGATGTTCTTATGGAGATACATGAAGTTCTAGCGGAGGGATGATGAAGTTCATCTGAGGAGTTGAGACGAGTTCTTCGCCGAGCACGATGATGCTCTAGTGGAAAAGATCAGCTTCTGGAGGTTGACAGATGAACTCTTTGTGAAGAAATGAGAAGTATAAACAAGTTATTGCAAATTAATATCAAGTAGCAGAAGGAGGTAGGCAGATGAGGTTTTTGTGAAGAAACGTGAGATACTTGTGGAGATACATCAAGTTCTTGCAGAGGAAGGATAAATTGCTGTTGAGGATAGATCAAGTTTTTCCGCGATGACGATGATGTTGTTTTGTAGAAATATCAGGTTCTGGCGGAAGGAAATCCTTGTGAAAGAACATGAGTTTCGTCGGGAAGAATGATGGTGTTCTGGTCGAGAAATATCACCTTCTTGAAGAAGAAGGATGAATGCCTTGTGAAGAAATATCAATGTCTGGAGGGCGAAGCAGCTGGTTCTTGTGGAGAATATCAAGTTCTTGGGGAGGAAAGATGAAGTTCTTTTGAAGAAACTCCAAGCTCTTCCTCGATGAGGATATTGTTCTTGTGAAGACATGATTCTCTTCTTGTGTGCAGCTGGGTTAGCTATGGTCGGTTTGTTTAAGATGATTTTTCGAAATTTATAGAAATTAATTTTATTATTCGTTTTTAGCTTTGGTTTGAGAAATGGGTGTAGCCCAATCAACATATTTTGAACGCCATCAGAAAGAAACATGTATTCTTGCTGTCATTTTTGCTTCAATTGGCTTACTTCTTCTATGTGTTGGTGTCGGTACACCATCGTGGAATATTGATTATGATTCTTCAGGAACGACACCTAAATGGTATACAACTTTTTATTATACATGTTATGCTACGAATAATACATGTTGGTATAATCAATATTTATCATCAATTGTTAATTATTATGAACAACCACTAACACAATCAACAGGGGTGTCAACTGATTATTATGTTCGATTAAGAAATGCAGCTGGGTTAGCTATGGTCGGTTTGTTATTGATTCCATTTGGTTTGATTGCTGCTATATTTTTATCTATACCTAGTCGCCAATTTAAAGCATTCAGTGGTCGTCTAAATCTAATTGCTGCTTTTCTACTGGCAATTGCTGCTTTATTTCAAGGTGCAGCCTTGTGTGAAGGTCAACATCAACTTTATTATAATGGTTATTCAGCAAACCTATATCAAACTGGTCATGCCTTAACAATTTGTGCTATACCATTATGTGCATTTGTAGCTGGAAAAATCTATTTTTAAACTTTCATATAACATTGACTGATTTTAACTCGATCTTTGATCTTTATCCTGACAGCTTCATTTTCTAAACCATCTTTGTTGTATGTGTGCGAATGATAATGGGTTTAATAGCTTCTTTTCTCATCATAATATATCGAACTTATAGAAATGTAAAGTGTATACTCTCATAGACCGCCTGTAGTAAAAGTTGTATCAGAAAGATGTAGTTTCTCACCACTTTATAGAAGACAATGAAGGCAATTTATTGATGAAAAAATCAACTTCAAAAAAACTTCTGTATGCAGTTAGTGTATTCAATGTGTCTTCAGTAGACAAGTTGTGATTCATTCAGTTGCGAATCCAGAACGGAAACATTATTATCATTTCTGATGTGATCAAGGTAAGGATCATTTGTAATTCTTTTTTCATAAGTAATAAATAGTGCACCAAAAATCATGGGATTGATATGTATGAATCTTCTGAAAACAAAGAGAGAAAATGCTAATGTCGCACTAACTTCTGTCTGCAGGTAGTGTATTGAATGGGTATTACCTTTCAGTCTCTGTAAGTCGGTGGCGTTTAAGCTCTGAGTTTTCCGTATGAACTACACGGACTGACCATAAATACCCCATGAAAAATAGCTGAATGACAATGATTATCCCAAGCGACGTTTTTTCGACAAACACATATTCTGTATTTTCTAATTAATTACTTTGACAGTTAGCACAAATAGTATGCAATTCACTACAGGTAATAGAGTTTAGAATTGTCTACAAGATGATATAATTTTACTTCAAATCCACCGTTGAAATCAAGCACTTAAGAGCCATTGTAGATAAGCTACGACCAAGTACTGCAGAAGCAGCTCAACCGACTTTCTTCGAACTTGATTTCAATTACATAGGTCAAAAACATAGTCAATAGCAAGTTTTTGTTGGCGCAAATCGCAGCTCTACAACCCAAGTAGTTATTGAAATATTCAAGTTTTAAGAAAAGTCGTCATTTTTTTGATGGTGAATTAGGATCAATTAGCGTTTAACCTCGAGTGTGTTATTTTCTAATGGCTTGATTTAGAGACACGAAGATTTCAGCACAAGTACAACTTGGATCAGACCAGAAAACAGTGCAAGTCCGAACTCCAGAGGCCGTTTATTATCAAGTTATAGATGGCGCTACCGCTACTACTTCATTATCTGGTGCGGAGTAACGCTCAGCGTTTTAGTGTAGATACTAGAAGAGTGGAGTGATAAAACGGCAAAAGAAAAACTTTGGACTTCCAAGAAGAACGCGAAATATTGAATTTTTAGTCAAATGTCGGCATCGACGGATAGACTGCATCGACCTTTGCTGTCAGTGACGAGAACTATTTCATATTATAGAGCTCAGTAAGCTCAATTGAACGGTGAAAACCACAAGTCTCTAGCCTTGTTAGAAAAAAAGTTATAGCCATTTTTTAGGTTATGGTGTAGATTAAATGGCTATAACTTTTTTTCTAACAAGGCTAGAGACTTGCGGTTTTCACCGTTCCATTGCGCTTACTCAGTTCTATAATATAAAATACTTCACTTGCTCGTCACCGACGAGCAAATGGTGATGCAAATGGCGGTAGGCTTTATATGGATTGACTCTATCCGTCGATGCCGACATTCCACTAAAAATTCATATTTCACGTTCTTCTTGGAGGTCCAAAGTTTTTCTTTTGCCGTTTTATCACTCCACTCTTCTACTATCTACCCTAAAACGCTGGCGAGATTATCTCAGCCATTTTTGCGATATTGATCATAGTTATCCCAACGGCATAAGTTGACTGATCATCATTAAATATGGCCGATCGAAAGGTGCTCTCCCGAAATTCATCAATGCTACGTAATGCTAATGAATTTTAAGGAATGTTTTATATCAGTCGATAGCCGCGAGTCCCCGCCATCTACCTGTAAAATATCGCATTTTCTCGATGAAAATTAAGCAAACTAAAGCAAAATACGACGAAATTAGGAGGATCTGGCCATAATTACCCGAAGTGACTCTATATGTTTATCAGAAAAAAGAAAAGAAAAAATATTAAGCAAGTCGACATAGAGGTTACCCTTGTTTCTTTTTTCGGAATTTTCTTATGTTTTCTTTTCTCTTCTATAATTTCGTATAACCCTTTTAAAAAAAATACTTTAAACTTAATTGGCAAAACGAACTAATGAATAGAGTTGATTGCCATCTGTTCTATTTCAGTGGTCTGTAAAAAGAAATCAATTTACTTTTTCTTATAAAAATCAATCAAAACTTTCGAGAATTAGAAGTTCCAAGGACACTTATTATTCAAAGATGAATAATATTTTTTCATGAAGGAAGGAAACATTCGTTACACGAACAATATGCTAATAGATGATGATTATTTTATTCTACAGACGTTGAACTTGATGTAATGCTTTCGTCAATGTGTTTATTTAGAAATCATTCTAACACAAGAGTAAAGGGAAGATTTGCTTGGATTCAGCTTGTTCTTGTCTATAAATGTTTGTACGAAACTAAAAACGTAGTATGAACCTAAAATTTTTAGATTCGTTTGCAACATGCGTGAACGCAGGAACCTAAATAAATATATTTTTCTCGGAAAGATTAGGTTCGTCATGGGCGCTAAAAGTATGAGAATTTTAGAGTCGTTACGACGAAGTTGTCCTCATCCCGTGCTTGGACCGCTTGGAGAAAACATCTGGTTCTTGCGAATAAACATCAACTTGTTGATGAAGAAATATCAAGTTATGGAGGAAGACTGCTAGGATTCTTGTAAAAGAACATCCATTTCTTAAGGATGGAAGACCAAACGCTTGTGCTACAAATTTAAAGACCTTAAGCAACAAATTTGAAGATTGAAGTTGTACTTCTCTTGGAGAAACACCTAGTTATTGAGGAAGAAACCTCTTGACTTGTGAAAGACCATCACATACTTGAGGACAAAAGATGAAGTTATTGTGACGGTGATTCATCAAAGTTAAAGATTGTGGTCCTCGGGATTTACGAATTGTTTTAGGGTAAGAATGTTAGAGGCATTATCTGAAGGTACACGAATAATTATTTAAAATGGGTACCCAACCACCTTACTTCCAACAGCTTAAGTTACTTCAATATTTGCATTACTCCAGAGTACATATGCATCAGGTAGACGTTCATTAGCACATCGTTCTCAGCAAGAACGAGCATTATTTCTCGAATAATGAATAACAACTCATGTCCTTGTAAACAGAAACAGTTTAACATCAAAACAAATACTTTAAAATTAATTAGCAAAACGAACTAATGAATAGAGTTGATTGCCATCTGTTCTATTTCAGTGGTCTGTAAAAAGAAATCAATTTACTTTTTCTTATAAAAATCAATCAAAA